ACTTCTATTTAATTTAAGTTATGTTAATGTTATTTAAATTTTCGTGAATTAAAAAAAAAAATACTCAACTATAGCTTATTCCAATAAACTTTATTATCCGAAAATTATTTGCCTTGCTATGTAATTTTAACTAAAAAGATTGAATTTTATTACATTAAGTAATAAAGGCAAAAACTTTTAATAAAAAAAGATATGATATCACATTAAATAGTAAATCCTTAATTAAAATATTTCAAAGTAAGCGTACCTCATTAATAAAAACTTTCTCAGTGTCCTCACCGCATACGGCTAATTCTTTTATTGCCACCTTTCCAAAAACCTTGCCAGCATCACAACTATACACATTACCAAACCCTCCTCTTCCAATTAGTTTCTTGTTTTTATAGTTCGGAATAGTTACGCTATTTAATTCATGTTTTAAGGTAGCAATTTTAAATATTTTTTTGCCTAACTTCATCTTGCAAAAAAAGTAATAACAATTGCCTTATCGCTGCGTGCGTCTGTTTTTATGCAGGCCAGGTTGCACTTTCGTAGTACTGAAATACGTTACGTACTGTATATGAGTTGGTGATCTACAGGAAATATTGTTGCGAACCTGAATTTTTCAGCATACGTACTTTTTCAAATGTTGTCATCGGCTGCATGTATGATGAATAATGATTAATATGGTTTATTTTATTTTATTTTATTTTTTTTTTTTTGAATTAAGATTGATCGGTATTACTGTCTGATAAATTTATTTATAAACATAATAAATTTTTATAAAATTATTTTAATTATGAAATTAATAAAAAAAAAATCTCTAATTAATGATTACAAACCGCACAAATCCTCTCCGCCATGCGAATATCGATTACGATTGTTTTTTTGTACTCTAACAGCATACAGTTTACTAACAAACCTTGCTCCACGTATTTTTTTTTCTTCCTGTAATGATCTCTGTGTTTAATGCGAAGTTGTAAAGTAATTTCACTGAAGAAAATGAGTAAATATTCTGTATTTATATTAAAGTGCGAAATGCTACATATTCTAGATGCCTTAATTCTTTTAGAATGTCCTCAATAAAATCTATATTTCCAGCTGGAAAATCACAAAGTAATCCAGGAGTTTAAAACTTGATATTATTCCCATTTATGGTTTGGTCATATATTTGCTAGTTGAGACAAAGTCACAGGGGGGCTATTATCACGAGATCTTAAATGATGTACTGTTTTGTCTAACCGTTTGGGTTAGAATTATTACGCAAGGAAATCATAATAAGTAGCGATTTCCAAAAGTGATCATGTTTTGTTTTCTTCTGTGTTTACCCGAAACTTTGCTTTCTGGATCCCTCCTCTCCCGCATATTTCGATTACTTGTTTTACGCTCGTACCCATCATGATACTTTTCTTCTGTTGCTGACTTATGTTTGCATAAGTGTTGTCAATTTACCGGAATGTATTAATATGTGTACACGGCTGTGTACTTCCACAACGTGAAGTTGAGTTGGAGACGGCTGCGTACCTTCGCAATGCGATTTTGTGATGAGTACATGACAGTGTACGTGTTTAAGACACGGTTGCCAACGTGTGATATTATTTATGAGAACACAGCTGCATACTTCCCACAATGAGTGATGTTTGAGATTAGGATATGGTTGTGCATTCTACGCAACTTATGATGATGAATATAAAGATATGGACACGTACAGTAGGCACTATAAGTGATGGACGATTTAGCCGTAAAATCACATGGGCAAATAAAATGCCACATTTATCCTATTTTTTTTTTTAGGGTCTCACACGTGAAAAAAAAAATCATTGGTTCAATGTGGTACGCTCCCGTCCCAATTGACTAACGCGGACAAGGGAAAGATTCTCGCATGTATTGATGACATGAATGCTGAGTAAGTTGCAAAGAAAATGATGTTTCATAGCCAAATATAGAAAATCTTCTACAATCTGGAAGAAAAATTACTTCTTTCTAATGAAGGAAAAGAAACTCTTCTCCAATAAGTTATTAAGAAGAATTATCAACAGTTGAGACTTGCAGTCTAACAACCTTTTCCAGGGTGTCGTATAGTGCAAGAATTTATTCTTGTTAGCAGTAAAAAAGCTATTCATACTAGAAGCTAATCTAATTCCATGAAAAAATTGATATGAAAAAACTAATAAAAATACTAGTAAAGAATATAAAATTATTTGAAGGGATTGAATATTAATACACATCAAATAATTAGTCGTGTGAATAATTTTGTAAGAATAATATCAAAAATTAAAATAGGTAAATATCTAATACTAAAATAAATTATCAAGCTATATGATCCTGATTATTAAAAATACTATTAATCAGTTGAATGAAATAACATTGTGATTTGGAAGTATAGAAAATAGCAAGGAAATGGATTTGTACTAATTCCAAAATTATAGGAAATAAATATTAAGTCAGTATTGTAAAGGATAAGAAATTTCAAAAGATTTGTTTGAACAAGATACTTTTTTTAGGTTTTTTCCAGACAAAACTTGATGTACTGATTGTAAATTAAGTTTGTATGAAAATAATTAAAAAAAATTTTTTTAATAGAAATGGTCTAGATGACTTTATTGAAGATTGAAGAGAAAAATATTACATAGATTAGTGAAATTATTTCCCTAACCTTTTTCTAATTATCTATATATTACAATAAAGTATATTGATAATTTACATTATCCCTGATGTCTAGTGAATGGTGCAACTCCAAAAGGCCAGCTTACTCACAGTGTCACTAGTATTTCATCTTCTTAAAGAGGTAATGGAGGGAAGAGAGAAGAAAAAATTTATACAGTTCAATACAATATCTATATAAATGAGTTTAATATTTTCAAAAATCTCTCAAAAAAAGAAAATATCAAAAGAGTAACTAATTGCATCCAATAAGAGTGAAGTTTGATGGTGTATTATATGTAGATCAACAGACTTGAGTTAGATTACTGGGAGTATAATATATGCATTCACTTAAAAGGAATGACATATATTTTCTTGATATTATTATATAGCTTATATAGGAGGAAGAAGCTATTACTTAGTTCGCAAATACCTTACCAAAACCTAGTAAGAAAAGTGTGATAAGACCTGCTTTCCCTTTTATATTTTTTGGAGATATACTAGATTTATCAGTTTTGAATTGTGATAAAGTATTCCACTTGAAAATAATAGATCCTATTTACCTTTATCTAAGATTACCTTAGTGATACAGAATACTTATACAATTTCTCTTGATTAAATTACTCTTCAGCTGAATTTTAACTATATCCATAAGTTAACTATTAACACCAGGTAGAAAGAAGGAATTCTTTAAAATATTCTTCTATCTAGTTATGCTTGTATAAGAGTAGGGAGAGAAACTCAACTATGATGTAGATATCACTTCATTTGATATTATTATCTACCAAAAATGGGGGTTCAATCTCGTGAGAAAATATATTAAAGAAGGGAATGTGTATATTTGTATAGATTGATCTAATATATTACTTTCTATCTTTTAAGTTGGTAGGTCATTACAATGAAGCAAAGAAATATATACTAGGCCTCCATATCCTAAGAGTTGAACTAATAAAAAGGTGATAGTGAAACAGATTTCTTTCTCTTTCTTGATTCTTAATATAGTAGATAGAATAGTAATAGTGTATTCTATTATAAGAATAGTAAACTGTATTCATCCACATCAGTTCCAACAACTTATAGTGAACCTAGGTTTTTATAAATTTGAGAAAATCTATTCATATCACTCTGGGTGTTTATCTTTCTTTTATATATCATGTTGTTTAATTAAAATCTTTAACCAATAAAATTTCAAAAATTCTGATATAACAAAAAATTCAGAAGTAAGCTAGAATAGGCAAAATTTTATAACAAACTACTCAAAAATTCCTTAAACAACTTTTCAGTGCTATTTGGATTTCTTTAATTTTTTAGAAGGTAGAACTAAAGATCTGAAACCTTGTAAAAACTTTTGCTATAATAGAAAAGGCCATAAAAAATATTTACGTATATATTTTCTTTTTAGAAACCTTTCTTGCCATTGACAGTCTTTGTAAAAGAGTGAGACATTACTCTTATACTTTACTATTAAATAATTAAAAGCTTGAAGAGGGTAATAAAAAAAAAGATAAGAGAAAGTTGTAAGTGTGCTTTATAGTATTTATAAAGTATTTGAATAAAAATAAAACAGCTACTGTACATTAAGGTAGAAATAAAATATCTACATTGAATACTATTTTTGTGGGTAATCAAGAAATTAACAAAAAGATATCCTAAATAATATAAATAGTTAATAAATTTATTTATACAAGATTTCCTTTTTACTAATATTTATTTAAAATTTGCTAGATTTTGAATTTCAAATTACTAATATTCTTTAATAAATACTTTTAATACTAAGTAAAGTTTTTTTTTTAAAATATTGAAGAAATTTATTTTATAGTCAATACTAATTTTTAATCTATCTAATTTTTATTTTAGAAATCAGATAAATATAAAAACTATTAAAAAACTATTAAGATAAAGTTTAACATTATATACAATGTTTTAAATTAGGCAATAATTTATTAAAGTTTATTATTTAAAGTTGGATAAAAAAACCAATTCAATATTTTAAAAACAGTGATAATTTTATTGTTAAATAAATTCTGAAAAATTTTCATCTTTAAAAACATAATTGAGTTATAAAAATATGTCAACTCTCAATAATAGTAATTATATAAAAATAAAAAAAATTTTTTACTGATTTTTAATTTTTTTAAAAATTTTCTTTTTTGATAAAAACAAGATAAGCCAGCTTCATATACAAGAAAACATCTTTACACATAAAATCCCTAGCTTTAAAGCAAGTATTATATTACTTATAATTAATTGATAATAAATATTAAGTAAATATAAAGCATCAACTCTTTCCTGCACATCGGTGGCGCAGCAAAACACTCCCACCGACTCCGGACAAAAGTGAGAAAGAATGTACTCGTAAAGGACACTTCTCAGTCACAATGCAACCTCCCACCCAAACTACAACAAGGAAGCCCTATCAAAGGCCCAGTCAACCCCAAAGCCAAACCCAAATAGACAACAACAGAAGAGAAACCCAACGTCACAGAAAAAACTGCAAGGTCGGTGAAGGAAAACCCAGCGAATTTGGAATCCACCTCCTCCCAGACACAACAACTTCGGACCCGCGGCCTCCAAGCCCTCACAAGAATGAATGACCCCAGCTCATTATCCTAGGGCAATAGTTTCGAAGAGAAAACCAACTCAGCAAAAAATGATACAGGCACAACTGCATCCACGAAATGGGAAAAGAACTACAGACACAACCATACATTACATGAATGACTATGAACCCTATGAACTTGGATACAGAAATAAGGCTGGAAAATGAAAATGAGACCAGCCACTTTGAAGTAACCAGAGACGCAGACGAACGACACGAAGATTGAGCCTCCCAACCAAACAAAGAGAAAACCAAGAAAAAAGTAGAAACATGCCCCAAAACAGCAAACCCTGCCCAAAGTCCCCCTTTGATAGAAGCGCGAGATATGGGCACAAGAGAACTAAACTCAGCATACAGGCCGGAAAAATCCTGGCAAACTCACACACCACAAGATAACTTATATATCCAATGCTCTGAAGGCCTGATCAGTATCTGCAGCGAGAGATCTGATAATCAGGAGTTTATTACTGCCCTTTTAGTGATCCACAATCAGCCGAGGACACTAGCAGTATACACTTACCAGAAACGGACAACCTAACACTGGAACACATACCAGATATGAGAAACATAATCAACAAGGTCAACAGTGTCACAGTCTGGGATATTCCCCTGGACACAACCTTCCATAACATACAACAGACCTTCGCAAAATTTGGCCAGATCAGCAATATCTCAATTGCAATACAACGTATATGGCAGTCAGCCACCATTACATATACAGACAACTCAGACAAGCACAAGCTCCTGGAAAATTGGAGCATCCAGTGCAAAGCAGATTCACTCGGGATTTTTGACTCAGAATAATCCTTCCAACAAATGAAAGATAGAGGCAGTTTCTTCCTAAAACTCATCAACCTTCCCCCAGATACAAACGCATTTGACCTGAGACACATATATCAATAAACAAGAAGCAAAACATGCTATATTCCCTGAAGAATAAACTACAAATGTAAATGTTATGCTGTAATTAGTTTTGAAAATAAGCAAGACATGCAGCTAGCTACCATAACAAACTACACCCTTGGAGAAACAATCATCGAATGTCAGCCAATAGACACCAAATTATGTGCCATTTGTGATACCACCTCACATCTGGCAAAAGACTGTCATATCAAAGAAAGGAGACAACAATGGTGAAACTACAAACAAGAACAAGCAGAGAGATTCGGCCAACTATACACACGTTTCAAACCTACCAAAACTACAAGCATCAGGAGGCTAATAGAAAAGAAAAATAATATAAAACCCACACACCCAGGCTCCTATGCAGCAGCAGCCAGACCCAAAGCAAGACCCGTTTCAATATCCAGTAGTCTAGAAGAAACCCTTAATCAAACCCTTCACAACATACAAGAAATCAAAGAAGAAATTGCCAATATTAAAGAAGCAGTAACAGAATTTGATGAAAGAATTGTAAACTTAAAACTGGATGAAAATTACAACTCCCACATGGATAAAGATCCACAAGAAATCCAGGACATTGCCAACTTGGAATACACAGATAGTCGAATAGACAACATCCAACAGCAACAGCACCAACTGCGAACATCAATAGGCAATATGGATAGAACAATAATCATCCTAGTTAGCACCATCTCAGATCTCATCCCCAACAATAGAGGAAATATACTACACAACGATCAAAATTTATAAACATGGGGAACCACAATAACATTAATAACAACTTCAACAAAGCTACAGCTAACAATCAAGAGAATTGTAAAACATAAAATATTGACACAGAAGACCATTATAGTTATAATTCTCTCAAGAAACATATAATAAGAATACAAACAGGAACAGAAACAATACAGATAAGATACACAATATAATACACAATACTCAAAACAGTCCTATGGAGCGTAAACCTATCTGGAAACTCTCAACCTTTAATATACAAGGAATATTTGAACTACATAAAAGAGGCATCTGGATCAATTTCTATGCAGTAATGACCTGAGACATTATAGTCACTACAGAAACCAACAGATCACACTATCTTTCGAAGCATTGGAGACATGAAAAATACCAGACCATCTGGACATATAAAGAATCTCAGACACTAGAACAAGGCCTTAATATAATGATAAATAAAGACATTGCACATCAGATATACAAATACAAAACCCTAGCAGGCAGACTTATCGCTATAGATCTAGCTTTCCCACATAAAGAAAAAATGTGAATAATAGGTGTCTACTTCCCGGCACAAGATATTGATGGGAAAAAAACCACTGTAATGAATACCCTCACCAAATGTATAACAGAAGCAATAGCAAACAGCTGGCATCTGATCATAATGGGTGATTTAAATGGTGTACCCAACCCAGCCATAGACAGATGTGGCCCCAAAGAGAAGCCCAGACACTGCATCCCTCAGATAAACAAATCCTGACACTAATTAACAATAGACTGGAGGACACTTACAGAATACACAATCCGGTGATCAGAGAATACATCTGGAACAGAGGGGCCAGAAGCAGTAGAATAGATCAAATATGGATCAACCCCATGGCAACCTGGCAGTCAAGGAGTGCGTCAATTGAAAATTGCACCAACCCTCTAATCCAAAGTGACCACGTTCCTATGATAACTGAAATAGAAGTCTGGAGTATAGACAAACTCAAGAAAATACCGATCCATAAACCCAACCATAGGTACAATTGGCAACTCACAACTTCAAAACAATGGAAAGATTTTAGTGAAAAAATAGAACAAGAAATTCAGCAACAAAACATGAGCAGTAACAATCAATCAATAAATCAAATTTGGAATAGCTTCTGTTACATCATCCAGAAAGCAGCTAAACAACATATCCGAAGAAAGAAGACATATTGCAAAAACAGACAAAAACTGTACCACACAGAAGCAGAGCCCCTTATTATCCAACTTTAGCACTTCAAAATACAACTCAAAAAGGAAAGTGAGAAGTCAGCCAAGAGCAATACACCATACACCCCCACCATTCCCCAAGACATTCAAAACAGTCTCTCCAACATGACAGCACATTTAAATAATCTCAGAGCCATCTATCCCACCTCATATATCGACAAGTGGATCCAAATAATACACAACAATATAAAAGCCCACAAAACAGTAGCCAAAGTCATAACCCACAGAAGACAAAATATTGCAATTAAAAAAAGGAATCCAAATTAAACAAGGATACTACAATAACGACAAGAGAGCAATGATAAACAGTATCATGAAAAGATCTAGAAGACATATACACCTAGATAAGTTAATAATACAACAGAAAGATATAGTCCAAATAGTCACCGACCCTGAGGAAATCAAACAAAGAACAAGAGAACACTTCTATAACTGGACCACATCCAGAAACACCCAGAATCTTGAGAACCATTCGCACTGGCAAAAAGAATATAGACCAAAGCCAAACATTAAATAATACATATACAAAAACCTCACTGAGGAGATCTCTATGCAAGAGCTGGAGTCAACAATCCAACAACAAAGTCCCAAGTCTGCTCCAGGCCCCAACCAAATTCTCTACATAGCCTATAAGCACATGGAAACAAAAACCAAGGAGGAATTATAACAGATCTTCAATATCATCATTAAGCAAGGAAATATTCTAAGTGAATGGAGCAGAAAACACATATACCTAATACCAAAGTCAAAAGATTGGGCAAATGATCTCGACTTCACCAGACCGATTACACACTAGATACAGGAAGAAAAATTTTCATCAAAATCATTACAGACTGACTCGCCAAATACCTGACTGAAGGCAATATACTATCAGAATTAAACTGGGCAGCCCTTCCAGGAAACAGTACCCAAGACCCAATCCACATACTCAGTGGCATAATTAAACACGCAAAAGAATACAAACAACAAGCATGGATTCTCAGCCAAGACATGTCCAAGGCATATGACTCAGTCAACCTCAACATGCTAGAACTAGCACTTCAAAGAATCAAGATACCAAACCAAATTATCAAAATCATTCTCAACATTTTCCAGTACAGAGAAAACAGAATTCTGACCGCCACGGCCTAATGGAGTACTATCAAGTCAGAGATGACATAGATCAAGGAAATATCATATCTCCCATACTCTAGAGGATATTCTATGATCCACTACTGTGCATGGTCACATCCCAGCATAAGGGTTATACAATAAACTCAAAAGTATGCTCAAACCTCAAAATCAGATGGGAGAAGAAATCAACTAACATCACAGTCAGCACTTACATGGATGACACAACATGGATAACAAGTAGCAAAGCAGACCTTCAGAGAATAATACATACCGCTGAAGAATTTTATCATATAAATGACATTAAAATCAATCCTCAAAAATCACAACTGATAATCATCAATGGTCTAAAATAAAACTTTCAGCAAGAAGTCATAATGAACCATCAAAGAATCAAGGAATGCCCTCCCGACACACTTGTCAGAATCCTGGGGGTATGGTTTGACAGTTCAGGAAGGAAAGATTACCAAAAATATCCCATAAAGCAGAAAGTAGCCAACACACAAACACTAATAGGCATAAAAAAAGTAACTGATAAACAAGCCCAATACATAATCAACCATGTCATGATGCTTAGCATAGAATACTTATACAATGATCTCATACTGACAAGACAAACATGCAACCAGTTAATAAGCAAAAAAGCTTTCACTTTCAAACACAAAATAGATCTTGCAAATACAGTCCCAAACAATATGCTCTATAACAGATATGAATACCGCATCATGCATATCTGGGACAGACAGACACAATTACATGCAAAAAATTGGTGCACCAGGATCAACAAACAAAACATTACAGGAGAAATTGCAAGACATCGACTTCAAGCACTACAAAACATGTACTGGTCCACCAAAGAAATCTACAACAACATATAAGCCCTCTTCCTAGAACCAGAGAGGAACCTCACCTATGACACAATTTGGTTGCTCAGAACACATGACTTCACCTTCCAAAAAACACAACTTAGTAACTTCCAAACTATCACAAGAATGGACATCATCATTGAAGA